ATGGCTTAGAGGTTAAGAACATGCACTGCTTTTACAGAGGACCTGAATTTGTTTCCCAACATCTGTGTCAGTAGCTTCCAGTCACCTACAACTCCAGCTCAAGGGGACCTAACACCCTCTTCTGGACTCCAGTGACACCTGCACTCACACATTCATAAACACACAAGACCAAAATAAACCTTCATAATAATATTTTCAGGAAGCCCCTAAATATGTTCTGAAAACAAATTGCCCAAGCTTATAGGAGAGGTGAGGCAAACTCCAAGGCCACGGGCCACAGAAACAGCCTGCATAAGTCTGGATCATGTCCCAAAATGTCAGATGGAGACAGAGTACCCCATTGCCAGCAGAGACACTACAATGGGGCAGGGACAAGGAGCTCTTTTGGTGGGGACCAACTGTAATGTCCAGCCAGTGAACATTCAATCCTATGCCGTTCCCTCTATCTCCCAAAATCTGTTAGGTTCAGAGTTGAAAGTTTGCTGACAAAGAACTGAATACTTTCCCTATCAAAATTGACATCGACATAATTTTTTAAGAGTGGTGATTGGAAACAGGACCTATGTAATCCCATGCCCACCTCCTCCAGCTGAACCATCTGTGGTGGTGGTGGTGGTGGTGGAGGTAGGTGTGTGTGTGTCTATGAGTGTATACACAGATGTGTGTTTCTGTGTGTGCATGGTGTGTGTCTGTATGTATGCACATGTGTGCATGTATGTGTGTGTCTGCCTGTCTGTGTGTATGCATATATGTGTGTTTGTGTGTGTACACATGTGTGCATGTGTGTGTTTCATCATGAGACAAGTTGAAATCTTCTCAGAAGAGGGGATTCAGTTGAAGAATTGCTTCCATCGGATTGGCTTGTCTGAAGTCTGTGGGGGCATCTTCTTGATTGATGTGGGAAGGCCCAGGCCAGCATGGCCAGTGCCATGCCTGGGCAGGCAGTCCTGGCGTGTATAATAAGGGTGGCTTAATATGAGCCTGGACAGCAAGTCAGGAAGCAGCATTCCTCCATGACTTCTGGTCTTGCCTCCAGGTTCCTCCCTAGATTTCCCACCTGACTTCCCTTCATGGTGGATTCTAAACTATAAATAAATCCTTCCCTCTCCAAGTTGGTTTGGTTATTACAGTGGTTTGAATGAGATGTTCCTGATTAGTCTTGGCCATTTGAAAATGTCGCCCCTGGTTAGTGGATATCTGGGGAGGATTCAGAGGTATGGCCTTGCAGGCAGAAGTAAGCCACTGTGGACAGGCTTTGAGATTTGAAAATACTGACTTATTTCAAGCTAGTTCTCTCTGATTTCTGTGTGGTGTTTCAGATGTGAGCTCTCAGCTGCTGTTCCAGCTGCCTGCAGCCTTTCTCCTCTGATCTGCCATCATGGACTCTAACCCACAGGAACTGTAAGCACCAAATAAATCCTTCTGAAAGCTTCCCTGAGCATGGTGTTTTATCACATTAACAGACAGTAACTAATACAGCCATGGTGTTTATCAAAGCAATAGAAAGTAAATGGGACATGAATCATTTTTTCAAGCTCTACCCTTCATGGCCCTCAAATAAGTCAAGTACATTGTCTTCCAGGGTTCTGTGCTACTTGGGATACACTGAGTACTTACAAGTTGCATAGTTCCCTTCCCATTCTACTGTGCAGACTTTGAACTACTCAATGGCATTGTTGGCTTCTTCTAAATCGAATCTATCCATCTATCCCTTTTAAGTACACCCCAACCACCCATACCCCATAAGAATCACGTGTTCGCAGAATTAGACTTCTAGAATTTTTATCACACATTAACTTTCTAACTTTCAAGATCATGATTTGGGGGATTATGTACTTTATGATTTTTTTATCATTAGGAGTTTCAACACTCAGAATTTTGACATTCAGGAGTATGTCTTTAGGGATTATGATTGGCACTTATATGAATCACATGTGATGACACGATTGATCTTCAGGAACTAAGAGAACACATTTGTGATACTTTAGACTCATTCATTGTTACAAGTGCTAAAGGAGCTCATTAACTCTTTCAGATATTTATTGAGCATTTACTTTATACTAGGAGCTCTGCTAACTGTTGGGGACTCTGCCATCAAGGAGCTCATTTCCTACTGCAACAAGGTGATATCTACTGAGTACCTCTTACACTGCAGTCCTGATACTAAGTGCTTCCTCACTGAGTGAGGAAGCTAGACTGAACACGAAGAAGCAAATATACAAGAGTATATAACAGGTAAACAATTAAAGAAAAATAGAGGAGAGTATGGTAGATTAACAGCAGCCTTCAGCTATGTGAAGCTCAATCCCCAGAGCCTGCGATCACATTATTTTGTATAGCAAAAGTGCTTTGTGAATGCAATTGAGCTAAGGATTATCTAGGCATTCTCATGGCATCACACATTTTCTTGTAAAAGGGACAGAGAAGGTTCACAGTCAGATAACAATGGGGGAATCCATGAATGGAAAGAGAAATAATATGAAACTGTTGGCTTGTTAGATGGAAGAAAGCCCAGAAACACAGCATAGCTGTAGAAGCTGGAGGGGGTCAAGGAATGGGTGCTCACCAAGAAAAACAGGAGGTTTACCCACACCTTGGTTTTCTTTTTGATTTAGACAGAGTTGCATGGAGCTGATCTTGAACTCATTATGTGGCCAAAGAAAATCCTGACTTTTGACCCTCCTTGCTCACTTCAGACTGCCTGAGGGCTAGGATTACAAGTGTGTTCCTTCACATCTTATTTACGTGGTTCTTGTCTTTGTGCATGCTAGTGCTCAGATGAGGGCAGACTGACATGAGTGAGTCATGAGGGTGGAATGCACAGGATTTGTAGTGAGTTGAATGGGAGGCATGAGACAAAGGATAAAAAGGTTGTGTGTGGGATTCTGATGACATTCATTGATTCAAAAACCTTCCAGGAAGAACATGTTTGTGATAGAAAATAATGAGTTATATATGTCTCTGAGGTTTATTGGCTAGGTAAACAGAGATGAGATGTAGCCAATTGGAACATAATATCTGAAGTTCAGAACAGTTCTGGAGTTGATGATATCGCCTCTGGGACTCTGGCCATTATAGACCAGTGGTGTATGTGTGTGTGTGTGTGTGTGTGTATGTGTGTGTGTATGAGAGAGAGAGAGAGAGAGAGAGAGAGAGAGAGAGAGAGAGAGAGAGAGAGAGAGAGAGAGAGAGAGAGAGAGAGAGTCTAAGGACTTGGGTCTGGAAGCGCAGAAATCTTTAGAATCTTTGAAGAAGACAGCTCATCAGAGAGAAAGAGTAGGAGCATGGGCCTTATTGTTTCCATCTTCAAGGCTAGTCAAAGCCAATGTTTGCAACTCCTGGCCTGCCTGAAGCTTGATAAATGGCAACCCGCCCCTTTGTAAAGGTCCTAAGAAGTAGCCATTGCCTTGGCCTGTTTGCCTTGGCTATCAGAGAGCTTTCAAAATGCCAGAGAGCTTGAATATTCCTGACAGCTGTGGCTACAAGAAGTTAACTCTAGAACTGAACTCTTCTTGAGACAGGCAGGGCCCTTTCCCACCACTGCCTGCCTGCAAGAGGCTTGGCCCCAGCTGAGGTCCTGCTCCTAGGAACAGCTCCCTGGCTGCAATCAAATCTGACCAGGGCTCTTCCTGATTGCCCAGGAAGGCTGAGTATTTGCTTTCTGTGCCTTGGACAGAAGTCCCTGCTTACCTGGCACACTGGACACTTATGTTTGGAAATGATTTGACAACAACAAACAGTTCAAGCTTTGAGCTCAGAGAAACCCTCCGGCAGCTAGCTCTTCTGACTGAGTGTGACCAGGACAGAGTGTGAATTGGCTGCCTAAGGGAAGAATGAAATCCTTAGGCAATAGTACAGGAGACACTGGTTTTAAATTCCCCTTCAACATCTGACTTCTCCTACCCCATAACATCTTAAAGACCCTCTAAACCCCCCTTTAGCGCCTAGTCCGCTCTTGCTTTCTGATTGCCATTCTCAGTCTTCGCTAAATATTGAAGTTACACAGGGAACTATGTCTGAAATCTGGATGCCATTCCTTATTACTGCAATTTAATCTTCTTCAAATGTGGTCAGGACAACTGAATAAAGCAGCAACAACATCCCCATGTAACTCTAATGTGCAATCCCAGTGGGAAACCGCCCCTGTTATCAGAAGGAAGCTGAAGGTGAACCAGCCGGCCTCACTGCTGAACAGTGGCTGTGTTTTGCTCAACAAGCCCCGCTCTTCTCTCTACAGCAGTGTCCGATCCAAGCATAGCCAAGGCTGAAGAGGCAGCATCCGGAGAAAGTCTCTAAATAGCTCCACTACAACAGGGGTGTGCTTAGCCTTCGTGTTAACTTTGTAAGGTGCACATTTGTCTAAGCGAATCAGGAGTTTGTGGATACTCCCTAGGCAGGGATACAGACATCATCCCAGTGTTAAAGTTTCTCCTTGGGGAATCTCAGAGGAGACCTCCGAGAAGGTGGACAGCCTTCCACACTGAAACGCTTTTTTTTTCTTGTTCATTATTATTTATTACTTTTTTTTTTTTTAGAAAAGAGCCAGCTCCCTCTCCCTTCCCTCCTCCCGCACCCACCCCCTCCCAGCCTCCCACCCTATCCCCACTCCCTTCCACATAAGGGATATCCAGAGTCTGTCATTTTGCTCACTGAAACTCTTTTGCGCCTCGTGGCCAGTAACTTCTTCAATTACCCAATAAGTAGATTCTTACAGATGCGGATTTTTGTTTGTTTTGCTTTGCTTTGTTTCTTTATTTGATAGTCTTACTTGGTATCTTTGGCTGGGCTAGAACTCAGAAGTCCACTGCCTCTGCCTCCTGACCGCTGGAACTAAAAACCCTGCACTTTATTTAACATGGGACCAGGTAAAGCCTTCCAGTCCAATATGGGAAATGCTTGCAGCCCATGAACTCCTATAGGGCAGCAAGGCTCCAGCTCTTATGGGGCTAGAACAGGGTAAACTCCAGCGGCCCCGCCCTCCCGCCCCGCCTCTCTTCAGGCTGGCAACACGGTTGCCCTGGCAGCGCTGGACGCGGCTAGTCTGCAGACACTTTTCCTTCCCAAAAGGCTTCGCGAGGGTCCCCAGAGTCGCCCAGCAAGCTGCCCGCCATGCTCAGGGGGAAACGTGGGGGCCGGGTGGGCGCCCTGGAGGAGGAGACGCCCTTGGGGTCCCCACAGCTCCCAGAGGCGGTGTCCGAGCGGGTTCTGCTTCGGGGCATCTTCGAGATCCAGAGGGAAAGCTGCGACGTGGTGCTGGGCGAGCGGGCCCTGCGGTGGCGACGCATCCAGCCCGAGCTCCCGGCGGGTGAGTGGCAGGCCCCCATCTTCCCGCGCTCACCACACTCTCAGCCGCCACATTCTCCTGCCTCCTTCCTGACACGGAATGCCAGCTGACCTTCCACTCCCGGCCTTCTGTCGAGGTTGTGTTGCAGAGAAGGAAGTTGCAGTGCACCTTCCACCTGGAACGAGCTTTGAAACCTGATTTTTAATGAATTTCTAAAGAATATTACATGACAGATTTGTGTTTTACTTAAACTTAGCGTCTAGTGACTTAAAGTTTTTGATTAGAAAATATGATGCTGCAATTTGCAGTAGAAATATTTTCAGTCGTCTTCAGTTAAAAGAGATCTGGACAAGAGTGGAATGCGGTTTATAGTCTATTTTAACTATCTAAGTGTTTATACAATTAAAAACAGCTGATTCCTCCCGCCCCCCAGAGAAAGCTCCTTGTGCCACGGTTTGTCACAGAATGGGAAGTTTTTGTTAGAAAGTGTTTTGTCCAAAAGTCTAACAAAATGAAACCATGAAGTTGGGGACCAGCATTAGCTGGGAGTGTGAATTCTGCTGAGCGACATATGCAGGGATGTTTCCTTAAGCAAAGCTACTTAGAAATTTAAGTAAAACGTTTTCACGTGTTTTGAAAACCCAAGATGAAGTATTTTCCTAAACCTTTGAAATTACAAGCGAGGTGCCCCAGTGTAGAATCATTCTGTTTGTAAATCAGCCCGAGCTAGGGAATATAAATGTTCATAATTAGAGTTTGGATTAGCCCAGGGAACCAGTTTAACCTACAAGTTGATAGGATACAGCCTGTGCAGTGAGACCCCTTGTAGGTCGGTGCTGCAGAGTAAAGGCAAATCATGACAAGAGCAAAGAAATGCTGTTGTACAGCGTGTGGTGATTTAGGAAATGTAGGTTTAATTAGCACTCCTGGTATTAGAATTTGAAAGGCTCTCTTGACAGTTTTATTACTCCGAAGTTTGCAAGTGCCTATATTCTGTTTAATTTTGCCCTAAGACCCTTTGGTTTTCTTTCCCTCCATTTGAACACACTAGTTGTCTTTGCAATTAACACCTTGTGTTTAAAACACCTTGAGCTTCTAATATTGGAGCCTCAGAAGCCTAGCACTTTTATTTGTTGAGCTGCTCAAGAGGTGTTTTACTAAATCCAGTGGGGTTCAGTCACGTAAATGTGAGTGATGAGAAATGAGTGAAGGGGCTCCAGACATAGCAGTGACTGTACCTGAGCCACCACCGAGAACATGGTGTTGGGATGACTGGTAGAGGAGGCCATGGCTATTGTTGCTTGGCAGGTATCTGGTGTCCCAAGGCAGAGCTGGGTGATGCCGTCTCATGGTGTATATGAGCTGCTATCAGATCATTCAATTTTGAAACTTGTAGTATCTTAGCAGTTTCATTTATGAAACAAAATACTATGTGTTCTTCCCCAAATTGTCCATCTTGAGCAAGATGAGCAAAGCCACTAATGTCATTTTTAAAGGCCATCACTGCTGGAATTATGACTAACTGATGATCTTTTTGGCTGGGTGAGTGAGTATGACCATTATGATTGCAGTCCCCTTGTTGGGTTGAAGGTGAATTTGGAATGACAGTTGTGTTATCCTTCTCTGTAGATATGAGGCTTATGAGGGTCTACTGGTCAAGGGGAGAGACTTAGACACACCTGCATGGCCTTTTATCTTTAAGTGAAGAAATGTTTTTAGTTTGGCTTTGTACGCCTATTGAAGGAAGATATTAACTGTGAGCAGCTGTTCCATTACAGGCTAAATACTTTGGTACTTAGTGCTCAGACATGTTGCTGAATGTTTTGAAGATGTAACCCAAGGACTAGGGTCTTTGCCTGATCCTAAAGACATGCTTCTAAAGGCTGAGACTGACACCAGTCACTCATTCATCAAACGTGAAGTAAATAATATTTTGTGAGATGATCTAAAGAGCACTGGATGTGAGCTTCAATGTGAAGAATTTCAGTGTGCTCAAAAGAAAGCAATCTGCTCCTGATAGGGAAGCTAACACAAATGATCAATTAGCTGTTTAAGTCTCTACTTCCCAAATAATGGGAGGGGGTGGTGAGCTTAATGGTATCTCATAAGGGCTTGCAGTATTGTCAGAAATCAAGATGTTAAGTGAAGGCCTGGAATGTAGTTCAATGATAGAGTTGATTGCTGATTGTCTGGGGTGTGTGAGGTACCAACACCAGTTTCTATACCCCTCTGGAGAGAGGGGAATTCTTCTTTGTGTCTTTTATCCTTGATGTCTCTTGGCATTCCTTGGCTTTTAGTTCTATAACTCTGTGTCTTCATATGGACTTGCATTGTCTCTATGTGTTCGCTCCGCATTCTTATAAGGTCAGTTGACACCATAGGTAAGAGCCACCCTAAATGTAGGGCAATCTCTTAGCTGAATTGCAATAGCAGACTATTTCCCAATATAGTTCTAATGAAGATCTGAACTTTGAGGAGACAATTCGGCTCACTAAATTTGTGATGGAAGTTGGAAAGACATTCTAGGTTGAAGGAATAAATTAAGAGAAGAAAATGAAAGGCTGTTGTCTGGGGATATTAACTGGTAAGAGGCAGTCAAGATTGTAATAGAATAGTCCCAAATTAAAAAGAAGTTTGAGCACAAGAAATTCAGGTTCAATTTAGTAGAAAATATAAAGTTCTCTCGTGTTCTTTAATTTTAAATTGGTTCGAAGCATCTCTCTCCCAAGTCCTCTTACTGATGATGATTTGTCCCATCCCTATTGAAATGGCCCACCTTTGATGCCTCTTCTGTGTTAATGATTTTGGGTTTTATTCTACTCATGTATGCCTACCCATGGCTGTACATCTCTCAAGTCTATCTCTTTGGGCTCAGGAAGGATTCTGTCTGTCGCCTCATTCATAGATATTAGCCTTCTTTTTCTCAACTCTTTTACTTAAGCATGGTAAAGTGCTTAGGACTTGTCCTTCCTGACAGCCCATGGTCTGTATCCTCAAAGATTCCATCTCTCTGTTTCCCTGCCTCCTCACTTTGTCAAATGAGCTTCTAGATACATGGTGTCACACACCTCCTCCTCTGAGTCACCTCTGACTTACTCCTCAGTTCTGCTCCCTTCTTCTTGCTGAAAGTGCCCAGGAAAAGGTTAGAGGTAATTTTTGATTGTTCAGTCCAATGGGAAATTCTAGTACTTCCCTTTATGAATTTCTTCTTCACATGACCATGATTCAAATCCGTTAGCTTGATGCCAACAGCACCTAGCTCTTCAGACTCACATGGGACTTCATTCTACGTACTTGTAAAATTTGATGCTCCCAAGGAGTCTGCTCTGTTGTGACTCTGCATATGCTTTCTAGGCAGTGTAGCCCATGAACCTTCCTACTGTCCAGTATATTACACTCTGAATGTACTAATTGCCCCCATAGTCATTTTGTAGATATCTTTGATATTTGATCAGCTGCTCTTGTTTTGCAGAGCTTGTATATTGAGGTCAGGACCAGTCAGTAGTTTTCAGATACCCACTGGGACATATTTCTGATGGATAAATGTGGGTTACTGCATTACTGAAGGTCAGACAAGATGTGAATCTAGAAAGAACTGTTGATACTAGTAATAAAGTAAGAGGTAGTACTATGTTGAGGCTCAAGGGGCAAGTGAGAGAGCAGGCCTGAGTTTAGAGACCATGTGAATAAAGCTACTATGCCTTTGCCTTAACCTGACTCATTGACAACAACCCTCAGGATAGAATATTTAGATTTAGTTACTGGCTTACATTGGTTTTCTGTCTTTGTCCAAGGCCAACAATCCTTAGGCAGAAGTTAGGAGAGGATGTGCTGTCATCCACATGTTGTGGGTTCCAGGGCACAGTATAAATGAAGAAAGATGAGCCCAGGTCTGGAGAAAGTAATATCTGTTTTGTTCACTTTCAGCATCGTGGCAAGTAACAGACATGCCAACAACATTTACTAAGTGAACGTTTGTGACTGATTGGTAGCTTCATGAGCTTCAGTTTTATCTAGTGCCTGTACCATGATAAGTATTTCTAAGTATCAATTTCTCATCATCTACAGTAGGATTATAACCTCCCTTCTCCACTTTAAGAATCTCAGAACTCTTAGCCAGGCTGTGGTGGCACACAACTTTAATCCCAGCACTTGGGAAGCTGAAGCAGTTGGATCTCTAAGTCTCAATTCGGTCTGGTCTACATAGTGAGTTCCAGGACAGCCAGGCTTACTCAGAGAAATCCTGTATCAAAAATATGAATAAAATATAAAAGAACCAGGAATTTTATAAACGTGTTCTGAAGGTATCTCTAATATATCGCTATAACTGGAGTTTCTCTGTGCCCCAGAGGATGCTCCCAAATAACCAGGCAGAATCTTATGCTTGACTGATAGCTCGACTTATTACTAACTAGCTCTTACAAATTGAATTAATCCATTTTTATTAAACTATATTTGCCACATGACATTACCTCTCTTTCACCTTGCACCCTATTTCATCTGTGTATCTCTCTGGCAACTTCTCTGATGCCATCCTTCTTCTTCCCAGCATTCTCTCTGTCCCCAAAATCCTGCCTAGCTATCGGTCAATCAGCTTTCCATTAACATTCCACAGCATGTAGTACATGAAAGTAAAAGTTTCTTGATCAGAGTGGTGAGTCTGTCTTCTTGGCTTCTACTTTGTCTCATGGAACCAAGTTTATTTCTTTGAAAATCCACCGAGTAGGGAATGGGCTAGGAGACACACTATCTAACATAGCAGGAGGTCTCCATGATCTACACATGCCTCACACTGTGTCTTTATTTCTCAGGGTGTTCTTCAAATTTCACCATGTTGTGATAGGCAGGATGGCAGAAATAGAGCCCCATAGACTGAGTTTTTCATGGGACTTCTGCTCCCCAGAATTAGTTTCCTCTACTCTTCTTTCAATGCTTCCATGTTTACACTCATTAAACCTAATGAAGATCCATTATAGTTTTTTCCCCATTCCCATTAGGCATTTGGGATTCATATACTGAAA